CTGGGACTGTATCCTATCGCCAACTTTTTCTCCGTGTTGATACAAGACACTGTTCAGGAAGAGAAAAACAATATTTTGTCTAAATCTTCTGTCTAGTTTGCCTATTTTTCATGATAAATTACCTGGCCACCGTTCAATTTAATGCATTACTCAATTTTTGAGATAGTTTGTCAACCAGGACTATCGTTTTCGAGCAAAAAGTGAGAAAAATGGTATGTTTGGACTGGGACTGCATCCTATCGCCAACTTTATCTCCGTGTTGATACAAGACACTGTTGAGGGAGAGAACAACAATATATTGTCTAAATCTTCTGTTTAGTTTGTGTATTTTTCATGATAAATCACCTGGCCACCGTTCAATTTAATGCATTACTTAATTTTTGAGATAGTTTGTCGTCAAGGACTATCGTGTTCGAGCTAAAAGTGAGGAAAATAGTATGTTTGGACTGGGACTGCATCCTATCGCCAAGTTTTTCTCCGTGTTGATATAAGACACTGTTCAGGAAGAGAACAACAATATTTTGTCTAAATCTTCTGTCTAGTTTTTCTATTTTTCATGATAAATCACCTGGCCACCGTTCAATTTAATGCATTACTTAATTTTTGAGATAGTTTGTCGACAAGGACTATCGTTTTCGAGCAAAAAGTGAGTAAAATAGTATGTTTGGACTGGGACTGCATCCTATCTCCAAGTTTTTCTCTGCGTTGACACAAGATACTGTTCAGGAAGAGAACAACAATATTTTGTCTAAATCTTCTGTCTAGTTTGCCTATTTTTCATGATAAATCACCTGGCCACCGTTCAAATTAATGCATTACTTAATTTTTGAGATAGTTTGTCGTCAACGACTATCGTTTTCGAGCAAAAACTAAGGAAAATAGTATGTTTGGACTGGGACTGCATCCTATCGCCAACTTTTTCTCCGTGTTGATACAAGACACTGTTGAGGAAGAGAACAACAATATTTTGTCTAAATCTTCTGTCTAGTTTGTGTATTTTTCATGACAAATCACCTGGCCACCGTTCAATTTAATGCATTACTTAATTTTTGAGATAGTTTGTCGTCAAGGACTATCGTTTTCGAGCAAAAAAGTGAGAAAAATAGTATGTTTGGGCTGAGACTGTATCCTATCGCCAACTTTTTCTCCGTGTTGATACAAGACACTGTTCAGGAAGAGAAAAACAATATTTTGTCTAAATCTTCTGTCTAGTTTGCCTATTTTTCATGATAAATTACCTGGCCACCGTTCAATTTAATGCATTACTCAATTTTTGAGAAAGTTTATCGTCAACGACTATCGTTTTCGAGCAAAAAGTGAGAAAAATGGTATGTTTGGACTGGGACTGCATCCTATCGCCAACTTTTTCTCCGTGTTGATACAAGACACTGTTGAGGGAGAGAACAACAATATATTGTCTAAATCTTCTGTTTAGTTTGTGTATTTTTCATGATAAATCACCTGGCCACCGTTCAATTTAATGCATTACTTAATTTTTGAGATAGTTTGTCGTCAAGGACTATCGTGTTCGAGCTAAAAGTGAGGAAAATAGTATGTTTGGACTGGGACTGCATCCTTTCGCCAAGTTTTTCTCTGCGTTGACACAAGATACTGTTGAGGGAGAGAAAAACAATATTTTGTCTAAATCTTCTGTCTAGTTTGTCTATTTTTCATGATAAATCACCTGGCCACCGTTCAATTTAATTCATTACTTAATTTTTGAGATAGTGTGTCGTCAAGGACTATCGTTTTCGAGCAAAAAGTGAGAAAAATAGTATGTTTGGACTGGGACTGCATCCTATCGCCAACTTTTTCTCTGCGTTGACACTAGACACTGTTGAGGGAGAGAAAAACAATATTTTGTCTAAATCTTCTGTCTAGTTTGTCTAATTTTCATGGTAAATTACCTGGCCACCGTTCAATTTAATGCATTACTCAATTTTTGAGATAGTGTGTCAACCAGGACTATCGTTTTCGAGCAAAAAGTGAGAAAAATGGTATGTTTGGACTGGGACTGCATCCTATCGCCAACTTTTTCTCCGTGTTGATACAAGACACTGTTGAGGAAGAGAACAACAATATTTTGTCTAAATCTTCTGTCTAGTTTGTGTATTTTTCATGATAAATCACCTGGCCACCGTTCAATTTAATGCATTACTTAATTTTTGAGATAGTTTGTCGTCAAGGACTATCGTTTTCGAGCTAAAAGTGAGGAAAGTAGTATGTTTGGACTGGGACTGCATCCTATCGCCAACTTTTTCTCTGCGTCGACACCAGACACTGTTGAGGGAGAGAAAAATAATATTTTGTCTAAATCTTCTGTCTAGTTTGTCTATTTTTTTATGATAAATCACCAGGCCACCGTTCAATTTAATGCATTACTTAATTTTTGAGAAAGTTTATCGTCAAGGACTATCGTTTTCGAGCAAAAAGTGAGAAAAATGGTATGTTTGGACTAGGACTGCATCCTATCGCCAACCTTTTCTTCGTGTTGATACAAGACACTGTTGAGGAAGAGAACAACAATATTTTGTCTAAATCTTCTGTCTAGTTTGTCTATTTTTCCTGATAAATCACCTGGCCACCGTTGAATTTAATGCATTACTTAATTTTTGAGATAGTTTGTTGTCAAGGACTATCGTTTTCGAGCTAAAAGTGAGGAAAATATAATGTTTGGACTGGGACTGCATCCTATCGCCAAGTTTTTCTCTGCGTTGACACTAGACACTGTTGAGGGAGAGAAAAACAATATTTTGTCTAAATATTCTGTCTAGTTTGTCTATTTTTCATGATAAATCATCTGGCCACCGTTCATTTTAATGAATTACTTAATTTTTGAGATAGTTTGTCGTCGGGGACTATCGTTTTCGAGCAAAAAGTGAGAAAAATAGTATGTTTGGACTGGGACTGCATCCTATCTCCAAGTTTTTCTCTGCGTTGACACCAGAAACTGTTGAGGGCGAGAAAAACAATATTTTGTCTAAATCTTCTGTCGAGTTTGTCAATTTTTCATGATAAATCACCTGGCCACCGTTCAATTCAATGCATTACTCAATTTTTGAGAGAGTTTGTCGACCAGGACTATCGTTTTCGAGCAAAAAGTGAGAAAAATAGTATGTTTGGACTGGGACTGCATCCTATCTCCAACTTTTTCTCTGCGTTGACACCAGAAACTGTTGAGGGAGAGAAAAACAATATTTTGTCTTAATCTTCTGTCTAGTTTGTCTATTTTTCGTGATAAATCACCTGGCCACCGTTCAATTTAATGCATTACTCAATTTTTGGAGATAGATCTGTCTTCTTTTTACTCAAAAGGCGGACATCCGTGTTGACGCGGTACGAGCAGCGACCACTGTGCATGTTGCGCGCCCTCTATTGAAAGATTGGCTAAAAATGATATTTTTTTATCAATTAGTCGGTGATTTTTTGCCCAAATCTTCAAAATAATGTGCTTGAATGTTGATAGATACTTATCTGATATCGAAAGAGGTTTCGGAGTCGTTTGGAGAAAAATCTTTCTTTTTTTGGCCACACATTTGAGAGAAACAAAATAATAAAAGTTAATTAAACTCAGAAATATTTCAAACCTCACACGTTATACACAGAGCTTAGTAGTTGCACTCTGCAATTTTATTCAATCTTTTCATTCCAGAAACCTTAAACTAGAAAATCACTTGAATCATAGCAAGAACTAAAACAACAAGACAAACAAATCCAGTGTTAACCTTGTAACAATTACTGAAAAAATGCAATCATTTCCAAAAACCAGAGCGTGAATTTGGACACCAATATTTGTTAGACAAAATGAAACAATGTTAAAACAAATTATACTGTCACATGCAGTTCAAATTTCCTTTCGTAACTTTGACTGAACATACTTGTACATACTTTGAGCAGATCTATTGATATTAAAGAGGGCAATAACGTCTAAGTTTTGCAGTTACTAAATCGGACGCATGGCAAGTCTGTTCAAATAGATTTCTTGTCTACTTGTATTTTTCAAGTCGAGTTTAAGAGTACATGTTGCATCAATAAACTGCAGGCTGGTAGACATTTCTAAAAAAGCAAGTCAACAATGTCAATTCTGAGCACTGAAATAAAAAATATGTCTCTAAATCTTTGAACATGGATTTTTATCAGTGGGGAAATAACGGATAATTGGAACATACTTTTTTAAATTTTCTTTTCATTATGAGGAGAAAAACATGTTTTGCATTCAAATGTTTTTGTTTTAGACAGTTACATACCCAGTTGAAAGGAAAGAAAGATACTTGAAGTGATATAATTATGATAATATTTGACAAATAGTGCAGCTTAATGAGAAATGAAATAAGTATTCAGCACTTGATTACAAGTACCTATTATTGAGAATATTTTAGAAGGATTTCTTAAGAAAACATGAGAAAGTTCTAAGAAAGGACTTTTGTTTTAGAGAAATCGTCTTTTGGGAAAATTTTATTAAAAATGTATTCTATTTTAATCCTGGCAAAATTTTTTTAATTGCTTTAAACTTACAGGATACTTGTCCGAGGCCAAAAAAATAAGTCTTTGGTTTCTGGAACGGAGCTTGCCCAAAAATTGGTGCGGCGATGCGGCATTTTTTTAAATTTGTTTTTTCTTCAAATGTCGGTGATGACTGCAAATGGTGCCCGACTAAATTTAGTGCAAAATATATGTGAGCCTACAGAGGCCACATAAAGCTTAAACTCGATAGTAACCCCATCTAAAAACACATTAAACTTGTGTAGCAGCAGGATTCCAGTCAAACCAGTGAGTTGGGCGGTTTTGAGACCAAAATCTTACAATGAAAAAACTGTTTAAGTTGGCTGTCACGCATGGCTACAGTGACGCGCGCGCATACCAGAAACTGGAGCCTTTTGGGGGGGGGGGGCCTAAAGTACTTGAGGCTCAATTCCAACACGATTTCTGGTCAGATATTCCATCCAACAGATAATCACGTCAAATATGTGGGAGAAATTGCGGTCACAAAAGATAACTTCTTTCCAATCAATAAACCAGTAATTTTTGCTCAAATCTTCATAAAAATGGATTTTTGAACACTGATTGAAACTCATCTTACATCGTAGGGCATTGCCGAGTCATTTGGAGGCAAGTCCTGTTTTGGCCAGATTTCATAAGAAATGTTAGGTTGAACCCTTGCAATTTGTTATGAGTTTTGGTAAAAAAACCCCAAAACTACTTGAAACTAAAAGAGCGAACTGTAAAGAAGGTTTAAAACTGCACCTTGAAGAGATACCTTACAATACAATGGCATAATTATCTCTAGAAATTTGGTCTTAGGGCATACAATCACCCCCCCCCCACTTGATCAACCTAGCCCCACCCCTTATTAATCTTGATTTCCCACACTAAATATTAAGCAATGCTTAGAATCAAGAATTGAAGGTGACATGTTGACGCATCTATGGCATGCATCGTTTTATGAAGCGTGGGTAGAAGCAGACGTCCCTGATATGCATTCGGTTTAGGATCCAGGTCAAGAATCGTCCAGTCCGAGACCGTAGCCTCCGTGAGGACAGGTACCGTACTTCCTCTGTGGAGGGAATAAATACAAGAAATATTCAGTACGCACAAAGTTGGCTAAACTGGGGGCCATTAGATGGAACCAGGTTCAATCAAGGACCATAGTATACAAATATGGAATGCTTGGAGTGGTGTAGTAAACCTAGCCGCCTCAGGTGATCCATGGACATTCTATTTCCCTGAGGGGAAGCAAAGGGAAAATTAAATGCTCCGTGGATCATCGACGGAGGCTAGTTTTACTTCACCACGAGATAAGGCATTCAATATTTGTTTCATAACAACTCACCCACAGATTCTGCTAGGTTTTTAATACCTTAAATTACATAAATCTGAAAACAGTTAAAATGAACTTCTATTTCAATACAAAATTGGTGGGAACTCTTCCAAACCACCCCTTCACAAAACGCTTGAATCCAACTCTGTGGTGCGCTCTCTTGGAAACAATACGCGCTACGCGCAGGCCAGCATACATTTGCACACAAAAACTACACCATGGGTATAGTACTTTGGTTGCTAGTGGTATAGTACATGTACTTTGGTTGCTATGGGTATAGTACTTTTGGCTGTGCTCTGAAAGATAGCAAAAATAGAAAGTACCATGTGACTCGCTCTCGGCCAATCAAGACACAGAATCTCCGGGTGAGGTATTGTAATTAATTATATTTTGACAAACTCTGATGGAACGCACGCCAGTCGAAGATGGTTGGACTAGTCTAGTAGACTATTCAGGACTAGCCTACCGCGGCTGGTCGGGCCACGATTTATAGCTGGTTATCAATAGCAATTTGTCATAACATTGGGCAGAGGGGATCAACTACGATATTGAACAATAGGGCAGAAAAACAAAAATTGTGAGTACTAAATTCCACTTTCATGGCATAGTTTTTCTTTGTTAGTTTAGGATTCTATCACTACTGTCACCATTGTACAATAAAATAATAAACTACGCAATCACTATTTCAATATTAGGCTCTGCCCTTCACCGATGTATAAACACTGTTTACTCAGTGTGTCCCGTCCCCCCCCCCCCCCCAGCAAAAGTGAAAAAATCATTCTGGTGGGACTCGAACCCTTGACCTCCTGTTTTCTAGTGCAGATGTCTTACCATTCAACCACCGAGCTTAAAAGCTATTATTTGTGTAAATAAAACAGAAACACCAAGTGTTGAACAAATCTTCAGCGAATGTGCGAGCACCATCTTCTCACAGCTGTTGACATGTCAATAGTTTGACTAGAGTTGTACCCACTTTAATTTCAGTGCGCATGTGCTACGTACGTCACCAACCAACCACTATTCAACCATTGGTCCTAGATCCAACTTGCCCCTAGTTCACTCAACACTCCTTTTACCACTAAAGTTGCCGAGATCTGCAAGCGCATCTCAATTTAGTCACATTTGAAAATGACTCAGACTCGGACTCGACCATGACTCCTCGAACTCGAGCTTGGTGACTTATGACTCGAGTCACGTAATTTAATCAAAAGAAAAAACCTAACGCAGGGATGGGAAAGGATCATCGAGGAATAATGTTTGGATGATAAAACATGGAGGGAAGGGATGGAGGAGGATTTTTGTAGGGATGGGAGTTAAAAGGAAAACACATTTTGGGTCTAAACAACATGTACACACAACATTATACACTGGGATTTACTGAAAAGACAGAATGGCTGATTAAAAATAATTTAAAAAAAATATGATTGGTTTGGTGAACAACTAAGAACAAGTGACTCGTGACTCGGACTCGAGGCTTGTAACTCGAGACTTGGACTTGGACTCGGGACTTGGACTCGACGTTGGACGGTGACTTGACTACAACACTGGTACTTGGTCACAGAGTCCACTGTACCTACCAGGTAATTCTGAGTTGACCACCCCAGGGTAGACAGGCAAAGGCCCCCATGAGGTGACGACATGGAGCTAGTCCCTCAGCTCAGGATGGGTCTTCACCCGTAAGGCCAGGGTGTTGGAGTCTATGCCTGTACCGTCTGCTGTCTTATTAAGGATCATCTGGATGGACTTCAGGGAACCTGGGCGGGGAAAAAAAATTACAAGATGGAAATTATCCTTTTTTATATTGGACTTTTGTTTGCCTTTGGCCGATATATTTAGCAAACACTGTACAGTTAGTGTTGTCCAGAAGGCTTAGGTGGGATTTAAACTAATGACCTCCTACACAAAGTTGGGTTAAGCACTGCTACATCAGACTCAGAACGGCCAGCTTGCCACAGCAAGCTCAGTGGTCGAGTGGTTAATGCGTCTGCACTAGGAAGCAGAAGGTTGGGGGTTCGTGTCCAACCCGAAGAAAGAAAGGATTGATAGAAAAGAAAATATCCTCTTTTTTGCTGTTGTCTACATCTATGTGGTTAATGCGTCTGCACTAGGAAGCAGAAGGTTGGGGGTTCGTGTCCAACCCGAAGAAAGCTTGTGTTTTTTTTCTAGCAAGCCCTCAGACAACACTCGAGTGTACAGTGTTTGTAAAATACTTCAGCGAGGGGCAACAAAAAAATTACACATATAAAAAAGAAGATCAATAATTATATGGATGACATTGAAAACCAATTGTACTAAAGTTGATTCCTACTTTCTGATTCACAATTTCAAATTTCACAATCATCCAAATAGAAATGAGATGCAGACCAATGCAAATGAGACTTCACAGATGTTTGTCTTACCTGACTGGATAATTAAAAAAAAAAATTCATTTTGCAACTGTCAGTGCCACAAAACACCACCTGTCTGCGCCATCACGTGGGCATACGTCATACGTTGGGAATTTTAGTAAACATGGGTTTCGTTTGAAAGATATAGCTTTCACTTCCAGCGATGTTATTTTGTCACTTTACATTAGTGTGCACGGTTGTAGGATTTTATTGACGCTCATAACTGACAATATGTACAAGCAAAGGGAAGATGCTTATTAAATTTGTCTTCAGATTTAGTTCCTTGAGTGCTGTCATTGGCCATGACATTTACTTGGAAACACTGGGATTATGTAACCAAGAATTAAGTGTGACACAATGAAATAAGCCAGATGAACAAAACTGTCATTCTTTCACACAGAGTAATTTGACTGAAACAAACAATTTTGTTCAGATCTACATGTATTTAATATAAAATTGCTGACTTGCGTTCTTTCAGCAAAACGAAAACAATTCACACACATCCTTATGTGATTTTTATTCTCAGTATTTTTTATTCTTATTGTTTTTTTGGTCTCAGTTAAACTTTAGGGAACAATTGATTATTTTGCACTCTCCTTCTCTCTATCTTGATTCCTCATGTTGCCATCACCTCGCTGTTGGCCTGTGTGCTTCGCACAAACTTCAGAGATCCGAACCTTGGGTGTCCGATGTGCATTCTTGTTGAACACCCTTGACACCCCTCCCCACCCACAAGTGTCAGAAGTGGGATCTGTACTTTCAGCCAGCCAACTAGTAGCGAGGGCTTGAGGATCCGTAGGTCACATCATAGTCGTCAAGATGACAACCTACGTGAAAGTACAGTCTCCAGCAGAGGAGAAAACCAGGAAGTTTTCCTTGGTTGATGGGCGTTTGCCCCCTTCAAAGCCTGAAGGGGTGCTACGTGAATGCCACCGGGCTGATTCACAGAACTGACTAGGACAATGAACTAATTCTGCCGATTTTGATTTGAGCCATTCTCCCTCCAGAAGGAGGATGGAAAGTGGGAGGAGAGTACACACCGCTTACCAGAGTCCAGATCCAGACAGAACCGACCAATACCGGGTTCCCCTCAGAGGAGCTCCTGCGGGCGTTTGTGGCCTGCCACCCCAAGTTGGGATGGCACCATAACCAAAATGCCCCTCATTCGAAGGACGGAACGATGCAAAGTCCGTGCTGGTAGATGACTTTGTAACAGCTAAATGTATGAATCATGTGTATGACCGTTATCACAATCCGGAGGACCAACGTGGCCAGTTTTTGCTGGACTCACTCCGCCGAAGTCAGACGGTAGTGGTCCACTCTTTACTGTCCTCTGTTGAGACTGCCGAAGAGGCACTGATGTATTTAAAGACCTCATATGGGGAGACCCTAACAAGTGGAGAGTTGCAGCGCTGTTGTTTGGAACAGAGGCAGTGAGTCCATTCGTCAGTTTGGCGTAGAGCTACAGCGACTGTTTCACTGACTACTTAAGCGAGACCCCGGACTATACAAAAATCCTGACACCATCATACAAGATCAATTCATAGATGGCATCGAGCAAAAGAGACTGAGGCACTCCTGTCGCGATTTTGTTGACCACAGTTCATCTATTTCAAAGAAGTCAAGAACTGGGCAATGAAACGCAAAGAACGGAAACAGGCCCGGGCGCAGACTACAGACTTCCGAGGAACCACATCGGCCATTGCGGTTGGATTGAAGATTGATTCTATCCAGCGACTGGAAAAGCACATGCAAGACATCATGGTATTGGTGAAATCTCTTGCTGAGAGAATTTCACCTGCTGCCAGATGAAGTCCAAGTAGATGGTGTCAAACTGGTCTGGGAGAAGACGCTGCAGGTATCATCTTAGACATCAATCCAAATTGTACAGTCAGTAATTATATAATTCTTATCAGGAAAAAAAACATAATTTAACCTTACTTTGATTGTATTAAATGATGATTTCCCACACTTACTGCCAAAATCTTCACCATTATTATGCAATGTAGCAAACCTGCTAGAGTCGTGTGACTGATTCCAATCCTATATTATGTACTGATTATCAGCACCACTCCATGTACATGGATATCTTCAGCAATTTGCTGTTCAACAGGATTGCAATCAGCCAGCTGACTCCAGCAAGCTTGGTGGCGGAGTTGGTTAAGATGCCTGCACTCTAAGCAGAAGGCTCTGGGTTCACATTCAGACCAAGTAGTTGACTCGTGGAGTCCTACATTACGTACACTACTGATTATCAGCACCACTCCATGTACATGGATATCTGCAGCAGTTTGCTGTTCAACAAGATTCCAATCAGCCAGCTGACTTCAGCAAGCTTGGTGGTGGAGTCGGTTAAGATGCCTGCACTCTAAGCAGAAGGCTCTGGGTTCACATTCAGACCAAGTAGTTAGTCCTTGCAAATTGTCTTGCAAAGATGTTCCATCAACAACACTGAGAATATGACAACATCAACAGGATTGTCAGGCAAGGCAGAGACTGATTTCAAATGACAACAACCCCAGAAAGTGAAAAAAAACTTTTATCAGATGACAACCAACATTCGCCCAGGAAAGAAAGAAAAAAGCAACAGATGAACAGAAATCAAATTGTGATTTGTGTGTGACGGTTTAAAATATACCCCCCCCCCCTTTTTATTTTCCGGACTATTTCTTATGCACTATATCCTTACGCCTCTTTCATTATTATTTAAATTATGTAACAATACACTCTTCCCGGCCCGGCAAACGGCCCGCCGCACTCCATCTTCTGTATTTGAAGAGACAACATTAGATTTACTCTTCTCTTCATTTTACAGGTAAATACTTCTTTATTTTCTTATAATTCATTACTTCTAGCTTAAACTTCATTTACTCATCTACTCATATCTTATGTGTTCATTTATATTTTATTAAGCCTTTTCTACGATTTATAGTGCATTTTCGTGGTTAGCAAAACTTCGTTTTCTTGGACTTGTGGTATAGATTGTTACGACTTATTCCTTATTCTTAGACTTACAATCTAGCTTAATCCTTAATGATATAGTCCTAAACGGGAGTTGTAGTAATATTCTTGTAGTTTTTTGCAAGAGACTGGGTGTGTTTTAAGGTATCGTTTTGTAATTAGTCCTAAAACGGACGTAGCCGCAAGATGGCGGCTATCGCCGATCTTTTGGCAGGAATCGCCATTTTGGTTTAAATGATTTATATTTGTCATGCTTTAGCCATCCCTTTGATATTTCACTTTAGTAATTATTGTTTAGCATTTGCTTTCAATTACTTGGCTAAATCGTCAATGGAGACATATTTTACTTTTAGATATTTTTTATAATTTGTCATGTAAATATTTATTTAAGCACTCCATCTTCTGTATTTGAAGAGACAACATTAGATTTACTCTTCTCTTCATTTTACAGGAATAAAACAACAGAGATAACAGAGAATTTGCTTCAGCCGTTCCTCATTCCCATTTCGACACCGATCCCCCCGGTGTCACATGTGAATAAAAACTTTTATTTGACTTCATTGCTTATCAGATCAAATTGAATATCAAAAAGAAGGGAAGTACAGAATTGTTGTATGGGTAAATAAATCAACATCCAGGGGAAGAACACAATTCATTTTGGAAAAACAACAGCAAGGATTGATAGAAAAGAAAACATCCTCTTTTTTGCTGTTGTCTACATCTATGTTACTTTGTACAAAGTAAAATGAGTGCTTAAAGATGTTTGGAGTGGATGTTACTTTCCGTCATCAGAAACATGACCAAATTGAAACCAACTACCAACTACCTGCTCCTCCGTCCAATCACATCCATATACTGTCATTATCCCCAAAGCCATTTTCAGGATGTATTCATCAAGTTTATTCCCACGTGAACGGTTGAACCAACTACAGGATGAGTCAAAAAGAAAGTGACAGAATTCGAAAAAAATGTTTAAAATATTTAGCTTGTTCCATTTCAATAAAATACGGGTAAAGTACATCTTATTGACTATTAACTGTGAAAATTTCACTTAAATTGCATACTCTATTCCCAATTCATGTCTATTTCTATAAAATGATCACAAAACTTAGCTGTCCACCACTTATCAATTACCATATTGCGAACTGATAATACATGTACCCATTGAGGAAAATGAAAAATCAATCGTTTTCCCACTTCCATGAATGAACAAGAACTTGCAAAGGAAAAGATACAAAAATCACCTTCGATTTGCTGCCCAAGACGGAATCCCAGCCGACCATCGCAGCCAGGGAAGCAGATTGAGCTTCATGTGATTCCACAGGCAGAAAATGACCAAGAGCACCATGCTGCCAGGCCAAGCAGCAGCAAGCCACCAAGCCAAGGGCATGCACAACACACAGAGAGTCAGCAGTCACTGGACAGCTGTCAAGAACAATGTTGCATGCAATGCGGCAGCAAGGCATCCATGCACAGTCAACAGCATGTTCAAGTGCATGTTGAGGTACATGCAGAACCAGCAGGGACCCCAGCCCTTGCAAGTTCTCATTAGGAACAATGCTCTAGTCTGACTGACTGCTAGCCATCCATGCAAGGGGAACAGTGTGAACATCCAGAACCAGCAGAGAGCCAGCAGTCACTTGCAAGTTCTCAGGAACAATGTCCTGGGCTGACTGGCACTGAGCCTTCAGCACAAGGGCAGCAGTATGCACATCCAGAACCACAAGGGATTAAATCTTTGGAAAGTTGTCAAGAACAATGTTCACTGGTACCTGAAAAGTGCAAGCTGTCTTTAAGGGCAGCAGTGTGTAGAGTGAGTGCTGCTTTTGAACTTGCTGTGTTCAAAGTGTAGAGCAGATTTAAGGCCGTTTCATACATGTACATCTTCTTCATTGGAATGCCAATGAAGTAGATTTGACATCGAGAAACATTAACAACACAATATGCTGGAGTTGAAATGTGTTTTACAAATGTACTTCAGCGAATTGCCAATACATGTACGCACCATGACATCAGTAATGTGCAGGCCTGCCCAGAGCAGATTGCAACCAACTATCAGTAAAGGGAACAGCTGGTATTCATGCAATGTATGTATGTAAAAGGTTCAGAAATGAACAAATTCCAAATAGTTTAATTTAATCAAACATTTGTACGTGTTTAAAGGTAGAGTAGATCATTTGCAGCTACCCAAAAAGTAACTGACAAAATTATTGTTAAAAGGCTTTTGGTTTTAATGGCAATAAACTCCCTGTGAAATCATTCTTTTTGGCATGCTGTCATTTTGAAGGCAACAATGAAAGAAAGCAATTTTCAACGATGCATCATGTTAGTTCATGTAGTTGGTTTGTAAATTTGGTGAATCCATGAATTTGTGCGCGCAAGCGTCGACACAACGCACACTAGGTTGCTATGATTCGTCAGTTCAGTGCATGACATCGCGTAGCTGCAATTGACTGAATGAGAATGTGTCCCTGGGGCTGAATTCGGACGCAATATAAAACATGACTCAGCAACTTTGAATTGAACCTGAGATCTTAGAGTATATGTTTGGAATATACTGCATTCACAGAGCTAAAACTTCATCGTGTTAGTTGTTAAGCACCCGTTTTTAGATTTTGAACACTTTTGTAGCTTCAAATGAAACAAAAAATTCACAAATGACAAATGATCTACCTTTCCTTTAAATGAGCAAGTTTGTTACTTTTTTCAGTGTGAAAAAGTAATGGTACTAACATATGGATAACCCTGAAAGTTCACTGGAAATAAAGATTTTTTTTTAAGTGCTTTTGAAACAGATTTGGAGGTTTTTATTTTAGGAAATGCACCTCTGTATTCCAAGTCTTTGGATGTTTCAGGCTTTTACATATTTTTATGATGGTGCCAAGATGCATGTTCATGACAAATACAATGATGTCATGAGCTGGAACTTCAGTGTCACTGCTGTTTGAGGGGAAAATAACGTTAACAAAAGTGTTTTGATCAAGTTTGATGTGACTGTTACGTTCATTAGCACATACCATGCAGCCAATGAGATACTTAAATGTACAAACTTTTAGACATGAACAATGCAATTAATTTTAGGTTCATTTTAGGTGCATTGCAAAAAAGTGTACGTTAAATGTGGTCAAACAAACACAGGGCTTGGATATTTCATGTTTTAGTGAAATTCATTTTACAGCCTTTTGATTCTGTTATTAACAGACCTTGACAAATCCCAAGCATGGAGCACAATACATACATACTCCTATAAAAAGGCACAAACTGTGTGGTTATTGTTATTGAGGGTTCAATGTTAAGGGAGCAAACTCACCGCAAATCCAAAATGTCTTGGGAGGTTTTGGATCTCAATCTTGAAGATCTCTGAGGTGAAGTGCTGTTGTGTCAGATAGTGATAAGGATCCTTTACGGCAGCGCCAGTCACCGGTACGTCAGAGGTTCTCGTGGAATAGTTATCTTGTGGGTCAAGACCTGATGCACAAATGAACAGATTAAAAAAATTGATATGGCTAGAGCTATATTGTCTAGGTCTTCACCCAAAACAATTACATGGGAACAATCTGACAATAGCCGTAGCCATAGCTCTAGAAGCGCGTTTCAGACACAGCCTAAGTAACAGATCAACAAAGTTGCAAGTTATGCATTAGGAGCATCTGATTCCAAATACATTACACCAATCTTTGTGCATACATGTACATGTAGCACAACGTGGAAAATACTTTTTGCAGACCAAATAAAGTGCAGAATTTTTTGTTCAAACTTTCTTGAATTCTATCTTTAGCAAGGAGAAATCCAATTGAATAGATGTTTTGCTGCAGAGCACATATATATAATATACGAGACCATTGTAGGCTTTAGATGTACAGTATGGGATTTAAGTCTGGTGTATTAAAGGTGTCTTCACAGCTACTATCTGGAAAAAAAATGTAGTTGATAGTTGAAGTCAGCAATTTGTACTCCACTTCTGTCAATAGAGCGTGGAAGTTGACCTCAAAAACCTACATGTAGGTGATTTTACTAGGTTTATCCAGTCAAGGGCAAAGAATGGGTTCTGAACAAGAAAAAAATCATTCCAATTTAAAACACATTCAAAACATATTGCAAGTTGATTACTATAGTCAATTGAAAAAATGTTGACCTCCACTTCCGTTCATTGGGTGAATCGGGTGAATTCAAAGACGGGAGTCTGTGGCTAGACTAGTCAGTGTTTGGTACCAAGATGTTCACATGAAAAGTGAATGTGAACTGGCGAGACTTGCATGCTCTATAATTGTACATAATCTGTGTAGCCTCACTAGTCTGTTGTATTACATTATGAGCTCCATGTCTGTATGATGTTTAAATGCAAAGCAATATTCTAATATTTCTTATAGATGGACTCAAGGGTACTTCAAATTTGGGTAATTGAAAAATCAATGCTGTAAAATATGAATGTCGTTATAAAGTTAGCATCACACAAGATGTATCTTAATTTGCACAGTATCCAAGGAATTGCTGCTTTTTATGTGTTTATTAAAGCTGCTATTTCCTTGTGTAATTTATAACTCTAAACACAAATAATACAGAAATATACTATCACCAAATTGGTGTTTGAGCTCTTACGTCTTTCTGACACCTAGTAATATTTGAGAAAAAAAATTGCAGGGCAAACCATGTTTCTAAAAGTCACATACTTTTTACAGGACAAACAAATTTGCGTGTAAAAGCAAGATCAGTGATAAAATACACAAAAGTGTACACTAGCAACATTTAAACAAACAGTGATTTTTCTGAATATTGTTTTTAAAACCTAATTCTTGCTTGTACAAATGTAATTGTTGAAAAATCCCTACTGAGTAAAAGAGCTTGCTGGTCAATGTTGAAAGTACAAACATAACACCCTCAATATTCATGCCACAGAAGTAAGCCAACATATTGGTCAGCAAAGGGGATGACAAGGGTTTAAGTCTTTTGTGGCTTGTTTCTTTCTTCTCAATAATTAATTCCTGACAGACATATTAGACAATGCACAATATGTACACCTGTCAATCTTTCTGTGTGTTGCATTCTGATTGGTTGGAATTGATGAGCATTGGCTACTAATGAGCCACGCCCCTCCACAGCTGATCCAAGCAAACATGAACGCTTATCTACGGCTTTTGCAAAATGGAAACCCTCTGTGAAAATACTTACTTTTGTAAGCGCCAAGCCGGAAACCAACAGTGTTATCTGTCAATGAAAATAAGACATGAAACTGAAACTTTTGCACAATTTACCCAGGCCAAGTTTCATGAAGACCTGACAAGAAATTTGGGGAATAACTGAGAAAAAAAATTCCCGAAACTTTCTTTTGCGGTTTTCATAACAGGCGCATTATGTACATGTGTGCACACTTTATATCCAGGCGAGGGGGTGCTTGTGAACGGAGCGGATACATACAAAAAAATGAAGAGGTTGGATAACTAAAAATAAATGCCAGTTTCACTCACCAATGCCATCTACACTCTTGCCGATGGTAAACTCACACTTGTTGCGATAACTCTCTAATACTGGCTGTGAGTGTGCAAACAAACAATGAAAATGAAAGGAACAAATCAGACATCTCCAATGTCAGGAATATTTACCCCACAAAAGATTCACATGCTGTATAGTTTATTTAACAAAAAAAAGCAAGTTGAATGCCATCCCACTGTGGCTCTTCCTGCCAATGAAATGAAGAGTGCACTATTAAACACGAGGTTGTGGGTTCGAATCCCACTCCAACAGGCTTGTGAATTTCTTCTCGTGGTAACCACAGCTATTATATGCACAAGATTCAAACTGGCTGACAATCTTGGTAAGCTCTGCTGTCGAGTTGTTATTGATGTCTGCACTAGTAAGCAGGAGGTCATGGGTTCACATCCCACCCAAGCAAGCTTGCAGAATCTTTGCTCGTAAGCTCTCAGACAGCACTGAATATACAGTGCATTCAAATTTACATTGGTGAAGGTCAAAACCAGGTATTCACATTCACATTCCCCTACGTAAACAATTTATTAAACTCATTGGTTGTGGTACCTGTGTTACAACTGATAATGTAGTAACCAACGGATAATGTATCGCCAACCGATAATGTCACACAAATTGACCGATACTGTATCACTAGCCGATAATGTAACAGAAATTGACTGATAGTGTGGTAAATGTTACTACACTATCAATCAATATTTGTTACATTATCAGTTAAGACGGATAATGTAACAACAATGGACTGATAGTGTAGTACATTTTTACTACACAATCGGTCAATTTCTGTTACATTATCGGTTAGTGATACAGTATTGGTCAATTTGTGTGACATTATCGGTTGGTGATACATTATCCGTTGGTTACAACATTAACAGTTGTAACAACCTGCTGTATCAGATTGGGACCAGCCAGCCAACCCCAGCAAGCCTGATGGTCAAGTAGTTGAGACATCTGCACTAGGAAGCAGGAGATTGTTGGTGCGAGTCTCACTCAAGCTGCTTTTGAATTGTGAAGTGTTGGTTTTGTGTTCATTTTTTTGTTTTTGTTTTTAAACATTTTTTTTTAACCAACTCCCCCCCCCCCTTTTAATCTTTGGGACTTTTGTGTGTGGAAAGGAAGTTTATTTCAGAAGTTGGCCCAAAGTTTGCTGAGTCTTAATTGATTCTCAAGAAAAATGAGGCATCATTTTCTGGACTTTTAATGAAATTTCAGGGCAGCTGTATATGTAAGTCCACTTGCCAGAAAACTGTGTCTGGAAACAGTTTTTTTGGCAACGAAGATCACATTTCCATTCTGGCCCACAACCATCCCATGTCTTTGGTGAGTAGCTCACCTTTGTTGCTTCAGCCACGGAGACATCTCCCCAATGTTTCGTTGCAGCATCTTGGATAAATTCCTCAGAAACTCCCTGGTGTTGGTCTGTTTGGTGGACAGCTGGTCCTCATACGGCTGGTTCCACAGTGGAGTCACCATGTTGTTTAACCTGTAGATTGGAAAAAGATGTGAAAAGCACATTCAGTATTTCAGAGTCTTAACAATTTTGAAAAAAGTGAATAGCTCCACTGCTCTAAGCCTTTTGCGATATGGCAGACACAATACAAGGGTGTTATTTGATTTGGGTATATTGGGGTAACTTATAAATGCAAAAGACTAAACCTAAACCAAATAGCACCCTCGTATTGTGTCCACCGTATATTTAAAGATTAAGCTTGAAACAATGAGGGTAATGTGTTCAACTTGACAGTTTATCAGATAAAATAAGAACCATCTGAAACTGTGAATCGCACACACTCTACACAGACATGCAACCTTTAATGCTGTAACTTCTGATCTTTTATGAGCTGTAAAACTCTGTAAAAAGTGCAGAGTGCCATTTCACTTTTTTTAAGTAACCTGGATATGAGCAAAACCTTTACGACGGATTACACAATGTACATGTAAAAAAAGTCTTGAAGAGAAAATTCTGAAGCACATCTATGCCAAAGTCAACTGTGTCTATTGTCTACTTTGGTTTAGTATGCATTCAAAACAAGGAACAAAGAACTAATCCTTACAAATCTTAGAGATAAAAAAACACTAAGGGGAAAAAATGCAGAAGCTTTTTGTTTCAACTACACATTGCTCCAGGTCTTATATTCGCTGTTAGTATAAAACTGGAGTGATCTTGAAATAGGACAGAACACTCTTTGCTGCATCTGAATAAAATGTTGGATATGGAGAACAATGAAGTTGAAAAGCACCTTGAGAACTTTATCAAGACTGGTGGCGAGCGACCATTTTAACTTTTACCGTTTTAGCTTAAACATGGTGTCTGAACATGGCCAAATGAATGTTTCACCTGCATTAAAGGTTTATTCATTTCAAACATGAGGAAGTCTAGTCTTTAGTTTATGTTGAAGTAGACTTGCATTGAATAGTTTTTAAAGCAGTTTGTTTATGAATAAGGTATATGATCAATATCCTTATTCATGCAAATTGTTTGATTGGGTTTACCACCCGCAGGGAGACCTCTGGTCATTGTTTTTATAACTTTAATGAAGATTATTAAAAATGGAGCATTGCAGCCACATTTATTTGTTCGTATAGCTCGCCTATGCATATTTTTGAAAAATACAGTTTTGTAATGAAAAATACAACTTTTGGAGATTCAGAATACAGTTTTTGGATCCCAAAGGTTGGCAGGTCTGTGCTTATTGAGCCACATTCGGAGCCGTCTCAACCTCGTCTCAATGGGTATCGCGCAAGGCAATGTTTGGACAAAATGCAACTGCGAGTTCAAAACCCATGAGGAGGAGGTTGAGACGGCTCCGAATGCGGCTCAATAAGCACAGACCTGCCAACCTTTGGGATCCAAAAACTGTATTCTGGTTCCCAGTAAGCCTGGACGACTAGTGCAACTAGTTGCAAAGTCGCCAATACCAAAAGGTATTAGTGGTCACGACTATCGATTTTCAGATAGTCGAGTAGTCATGCGGCGACTATTGTCCTGCGAGTCGCGACTAGTGCGCCACGGCAATATTTTGCACCGCGACTATTGTGATGCGACTATTAACCTGCCCTGCAGTGCACTACGCACCGCTCAAATTCTGAGCGACTAGTCACTACACTGTTCACCGAGCGCACGTACCTAGAAAGAGACACACACACACAGTACTTACAGTTTCAACGAAACACCACACACACAAAACGAAACACTCACAGAACGGTACATGTACATGTACATTGTACATCGTACCTGTACAATACATTGCGATCGATAGTGCGTTCACACAGCTCAGGTCATTGGGGCCGGGGTCACTCATGAACGATGAATGGCGCACGTGTTGAACGATACACACATAGAGTCACATATAAACTCGGCGCACATGAATGCCGTACATGACGAAATGACGATTAACAGTACACGCAAAACAATGTAGGCCTACACGTACATAGTGACGTACATACATGTAATGTCTCCTTGGTTGCATTGGAGCTCCATGATTCTATTCTACCCACGAGTCACATGGCATGGCACATCCGGGACTCAGGTATTCCCGCTCCGGTCAGCATTTCGACAAGTTGTTGGTGAAAAAGCTTTCTTCGTGTATTTCTTGAATTAAAATGAAATATCAGACAACTGCTTGTTTGCTTGCCTTGAGTAATTTATTCTGTTCTTTTCATTTTTCTTGCGTCTGATTTTTGTAATTATTTTAGAGATATTTGTGAGAATTTATGGAAGTTGGTAGAATAAATGTAAATGTTAAAGTAGCCTTCCTAAGTTGTGATGCGGTCAGTCAAGTTTATCGTAACAAGTTTATATGAGTCGGGAGTAAACGACCTATAGGCCCTAAATTTATGTTTCATGAGTATTACAGTGTTTTGCGTAAGTCGTAATGACTATAATGACAAAAGAGGCCTATGACTCGGGTCGGGTCGGGTTGACCATAGCTCGACAGCCTCCATTCAGTCTCACATCTGGTTCACGTATCAATCCTCACCGCGACTGCTATCTGTGGTTAGCACTTATTAGTTTACAAAGCACCTTTGTATGAAAGTAATGATGCAACAGTCCGCATCCGACTGGTTGATGAGGCTCTGCATTTTTTCGGAAGCAAGAGTGTAAGTAATCTCTTTAGCACCATATTAAAACAAATTTTAAGAAACATGGCACGCTCGACCAACTGCAGCGGAAGGTTTGGGGAGGGGGAGGGGTGTAATAATAATGTCGGGTTGGTACTTCAAAGACGGCGCACCGCCGAAGTCGGTAAAAGTTTTGACTTCATACTTGATTAACAAAGTTTCACCGCTACTACTCGTGGTTAGGGGTTGATAACATGTCTGACATTTATTTGGGTTTGTGACGGATGTTTCCTTTTTAAGCGGCAAGACCATTAATGAAGAGGCAGTCATTGTCTTTAAAATCGGCATCAAGTGTATTACTGGTTACTAAGAAATGGGTTGAGAGTCGGGGAGACAATGAAAGCCTTTGATGTTTGGTGATTTGGTGAGTATCACTGTAAGTCTGTAACCAATTATTCTCACTAATCCCAGTTACCACCTCCAAAATAAAAGCCACGGGAAAATTTTGCAAGCATCAGATGCACTTAGGTCTTCATCGAAAATGCCGTTCCCAACATCAGATCTGCTGCGAAACAAACGCTTGGCACCAAAGAAAGATGCCAAGTGTGAAATATGGAAATACTTTGGATATCCACTTGAACCAATTGACGACAAAATCGTTCTCAGTGAGTCAAAGGTTGTCTGCGCGATTTGTGACGCATTGCTGACCTCCACTGGGAACACCAGCAGTTTGAGGAACCATTTGCGAGCCAAACATCCTCGTGGGTATCGTGAGTTTTCGCAGAGTTCCCAGAAGTCTGCGGCTCCGACTGCACCTAGCGTCCCAGGATTGTCAACACCCCAAAGCCAGCAACCCAAATTAGACGTAAGTATACCCCTTACGAATGTTATAATACGACTTTAAAGTTTAATGTTGTAAAATTTAAAAATATTGTTTGATGCATCATGCTCAGAATGCTGCGTAAGTTTTGGTAAAACGACCAAAAAAATGTTTCCCAAATTTTAAGAACAATACATTGAGCCTGATTTAAACTGCATTCCATTGAAAATTGAAAAATAATGCTATAAATTTGCACGGATTTCGCGATGTACGACTACACTAACAAAAACAAACACTTACCTTCTCACCAGTATATAATTCTTACCACCAACCCCCCCCCCTAAAAAAATCCACTTGTGTTTTTGTGTTTTGTTCCTTTTTTTTTGCACTTTATAAGAACAAAATGTGGGCCCTTATTCAACATTCAGTGTTTTATTTACCCCTTAATTTTTTGTCTTGTTTCGTTTTTAACTTCAGACCCTGTTCTAGAAAGCTGTCCAGTATTCATCAAACAGTTTACAAGCTAAGGAGTTGACCAAGGCGGTTGCATATCACATTGCGAGAGATATGAAACCAATCTATACTGTTGAAGAGCCAGGTTTCGTCCGAATGTTGGAGAAGTTTGACAGCCGGTACTCTCTTCCACCGAGGAAGACATTTTCTTCAGTGATAATTCCGCAGATGTACAAAGACCTGCGCGCATCCACCGTGGTCCCTCTTGCTGCCAATGCGACATCGTTCTCCCTCACATCAGACCTCTGGACGGCTCGGAACATGGCTCAATTCCTTGGTGTATCTATCCACGCAATCAACTCATCGTGGGAGTTGAAAAAATTCACACTTGAAAATACTGATTGCCCTCCACCCCACGATGCTGAATGCATAGCTTCAAGCCTAAAGAAAGTGCAGGAGGAATGGAGCTTGGAACAGGAGCGACTTACGGCAATAACGACCGACAATGCATCCAACATAACAAAGGCCATTCGGGATCTCGAGTGGGGCCATCTCCCCTGCTTTGGGCATTGCCTAAATCTGATCGTCAGGGCGGGACTGGACACCAAACAAGTCCACACAACACTTGCCAGATGCACAAAACTTGTGCAATATGTCCACAAAAGTGCAACTGCTACTTACAAGCTCACGGAGAAGCAGGGGATGCTTGACTTGCCCAGAACAAACTGGTACAAGATGTCAAAACGCGGTGGAACTCAACTCTGGACATGCTGGCACGAATTGTACAGCAGCAGCAAGCCATCTGCAGTATGCTCTTGGAACTAAAGAAGCAGGAACTGATGCCATCAGCTGAAGAATTCAAGACTATCGAACAGTTGGTTGATCTTCTGACCCCGATGAAGGAGATGACGGAATTCTTCAGCGGAGAGTACGTCACCGTTTCCGGATTACTACCTTGCATATTCCGACTTGAACAAAGTCTACTTGACAAGGCTGATGACACGAAAGCAGTTGAAGGTGTCAAACATGCAATGG